TGTCCTCGAATTTAAAAAAAATTCGCAGACGGTCGGCTGTCGGCAGCTTAACCCTTTCGAATGGTTCCACGTATCTTTTGCCTTTAATTAGTCATTAAACCCCAACGGTAAGCCCTGACGCGACGCGACGCTGAAACCTTCCTCGACTCTTCCCGGCCATTGCCCTGCGACGTCAAAATCGCGAAATCTCCAGTGGAGAGCTACATATTTTTGCGGCCGCGAAACGCAGATATCCCGGGCGGTACTTCGATGCCGCGGCCGCGTACATTCACGCTCACGCGTGTCTATTTGTCGCGTTCGCGTTCTCTGCTTTTTTTATGCGCGCACTTTTGTTACGGGATGCCGCGCACTTCACACGAGCGGATGCCTCTTTTTTACGAGATCGTCAACGTTGAAAGTGTCCGGCAGTTTTGGCTGCAATAACGCGGCGCGATACTCGACTTTTCATATTTCAGTTTTTATTCAAACGCAAATATGCGGACGTGCTCGGCCGTTAGAGGTTGGCTGAAACCTGATAACCTGATTTAATCAGGAAATTGAGAGAGGAAGAGGAATTTTATCGAATTACTTCTGTCTGCTTTTCAATTTAACATTTCTTTCATTTGCATCGTAGATTGTGTAAGGGTTTCATTATTTTATTACAACAGACACGCAAGCTCGAGTAAATCTTGTCACGAGTGGTACAATTATAATGCAACCGATTACAATAATTAACGAAATATGTATATGGATAGAGTCAATTTCCGCCTCTATGTGTCTTCTATAACGCGCTCGGTACTTTGCGGACTTTCAGCGGAGCAAAACACGACCGACACGTCGCGGTCGCGTGTCGTTCGTCGAAAATTGCCCGCTGCATAGCGGTTTTCGAGGTCGTGTCGCGCGAATCGTGAGGTGTAATATCGAATTAATGCCGCCTGAAAACCGTACGGATACTATCGGACATCAGCGGTGCGCGTTGCGTAACAAATTCCGCATCGGCGATACGTGCCACTGTTCATTCTCTTTCTCGGTCCCTTGTCGGACCGCTTCTTGTTCTTCCGCGTAAATATCGCATCAATCTAACGTTTTCCCGACTATCCACTCGGCGGAACGTGTGAGGAAAGTAAAACGTGCGAACAAAAAAAAAACAGAAAAAGATCGCTTCTTTATAAAAATGTTCAGCAAGTGACTCAACGTGTTTCCCAAACATGTTAATATCGTATAACAGGAATAAAAACTTATTGTCGCCAGTAAATAATTAACCGATATAGGAAACAAATGGTCGATACAACTGACAAATTCTAATTAAAGAAATTCGTGTTAATATTATGTTGCGCCGTATGCTTTAATTTCATAATATAAAAGCATTTATTATTATTCATGAAAAAGCATTTACTGTTGTTAGCAAATAACATTAATAAAAACTTCGTTATAAAGAAACTGATTTTTGATAAAGAATACGGTCCCAAAGAAAAGAACATAGCTCGCTTGATTATATGCAGCGTAAACGAGAATGAGTGACATTACAAGTGTATGGGCGAGTATTCTTCAACAATTATAATAAATGGGACGGGGGGGGGGTCTAAATAGCGTATCTCCGATGGAAGCAGGCACTAAGACGCGTAATAATTTTTCTAATTTATTATTCAGTATCAGTTATTTTGGATTCAGCTTGAAATTTGCAAATCTGCCGTGACACGTGTAAATGTATCCGACGTAGCGACTCGCCGTTTGGCCGGGCAGGTCGCACGCAATCCCGCGATCGTTCCTCGGCGTCTACGTACGTACGTACGTACGTACGGTCCAGACCGAGGGCGACACACCCGCAACCAGCATTCCCGGCTAATTCTTCATCGAACAATTACCGAACGGATGACGGCGGCAGAGGCAACGCGGAAGACGAACTAGTCGTGACATGGAGGCCCGGCGCTCAGCACTACGTCATAACGGTCGAGCGGGCTTGCGCCGGCTCTGAGGATGACACGATGGACCATGGTTTAGCTTGTCCTTTGATGCATGATATTGCGGAGTCGGTGCCGCACGCTTCGGCAAACATGTCACGAGCAAGCCGAAACTGTTAGGATTCATAGTTATCTCGGGCGATCGTGTGCCGTCCGAGGACACTCGCCCTATCGTCCACGCGCGACTACATCCTCTATAATGTAATACGTATACACCTGCGACGCGTGTGCGTTCCCGTGCGTGAATCTCGCGGTATCGCCGCCCTGCGAATTTCGTAGCGTGACGTCCGCTTCGGGACTTTTTGGGATAGCGAGGAGCGCCCGAAGGACGTGGAGAAAGAGGGATGGGATGAGGATTCGCGCGCGCTCAGAAAAATGTCCGAGTAAATATAATCGGATAATCCACTTACATGATAACGAACAAATTTTCCCGATTAAATTATGGATACGCCCGAAGAAATTTGATTGGAAAGCCGATCATATTGTTCACCGGATATACAATTTAATTGGGTATCTATTTATTTCCCCGCTCCTTCTCGATGTTTGACCCAGACGTTTTATCGCACTTACACTTTTGACAGTCATTCTCCGGCCTTTGTAGACAGCGTA